TGTATAAAAAACATTAACAAAATTACAAGTCTTTACAGAACAATGCGCTGTAGTAGACTTAATCTGTAAGTTTACAATTACACAGCTTTTAATAGTGAGAGGTCATTAAGTGAGCCTCTCTGAGGCGTTAAACTCCATCGCCAAAAATTAGGCCCACTCCAGCCCTGCCTAACACATAAGCCTAAAACAGTATGTGTACCCATGGGGACCAGGCATTGGTTGAGAACAGTCAGTCTCCACAAGGTGCCATGATTGATGGATAATGATACAAAAAATGTCAGAAATAACCCCCCCCACACACACACACCCACACACACACACACACACACACACACCTACTCGTTCTGTTATATGTACTGAGGACCAATGTTTTCAGTTCCATTTCAGTCATTTTCAACCCTTTCTACTGTATGTCCTAACCCTAAAACTAACCCTAAACCTAACCATTACAAATGCATACCTCACCCCAACCCAATTGGCCCCTTAGCCTCAAACCTAACCATTAGCTAAATAACTTGTGAGGACCAGCAAAATGTCCTCACTTTTCAGCAACTGGTCCTCAATCAGATGTTAAAATTTGAAAAATTGTCCTCTCTCTGAGGGCTAGACAGGTACTCACACACATCCACCATGCATTAAGCTGTCAAACTTAAAATAATGTCAACTTCATCCTTCAAGGAGAAACAACAGATTGTTTTACATTCTCAATGAATACTATATTGAGTTTAACTTTAATTTGCCAAACTAATAAAACATGATGACTAAAAAAGATGTAGCAGTCTCAGTACATCCAAATATACAACTGGTTAGAAATCGAAATTGAGGCAGTTCCTCAGAAATGAGAAGACATCTTGTATGCGCAACAACAAATTAAATGTTGTGGCTCCTACATGAATGCCTTGGGCTTGCTAAGCATTTGATAATTGCAGTTTTCTAATTCAAATGACCTTGAGGTCAAATTAAATGTTTCTTCAACCCTAAACAAATTCAATTCAATTATTAAAAATGTTTGCACCAATGAAGTTGCTTTAAAACAGGTACTTATCGTAGAATATGATTGATATATGATTGATGTTTTTCTAATGGCAAGTAGCTAACTCGCTTGGGATAAGCATGACAGAAAATGGATGGATGGATGGCAAGTAGCTGAATTAATCATTTATTTATTATTTATTTACAATTGTTTTCTCTTCTTGAGTCATAATGACAGCACAGACCACCTGAATAACCCTGCTGTGAGACTTTAGGTTTTTGTCCGATAGCATACTCCCAGGGGGATACATATCTCTTATAATGCCAAAAAAGATATCCATAGTCACCTTTCATCTGTTTTTGTTTTGTCGATAAATTTATATAGCAGGTCAGTGAGTTTCTGGCCTCCTTGTAGACATTACTAATAAGAGCAACAGGAATGGCAAAACAACCGACAAAGGACAATAAAGAGTTGAACCTTATTAACCATGAAAACAAACTATAAAATTTTTAGTAAGTGAAGATTCTAAGTATTCAGACTAATTAGGAAGTAAAGAATGGAGGAGGCGGTTAAAATCATATGCATACTCCATGCAGAAAGACACAGGGCCAGGAATTGAACCCATAACCTTCTTCCTGCAACGCAACAGTGCAACATATTGTGCCACTGTGCAGCACAAGGTCACTTTCAGCTGACCGACAAAAAGCTTTGCTAATTGAGAAGAAACTGCAGAAGAGCATGTTAAAACCAGAAAAGGTGGATGAGAGGTGGAGTTTGTGTGAAGCAGGCTGGCAAGTCTCACAACTCTCCTCATGTGGCACAAAATTTCCAACCCCACTCTGCTTATGTAAAATAGAATATTTTCCAATAATTTAAACTATGAGAAATTGGGCTATAAAACATTACAAGGCTGTTCAACAATTCTACTTTAGATTTTCTTATATCAAATGAAGAAGTATGCACGCAGATGTCTAATATGCAAAAAAGGGCTTCCTCATTCATTTCAATTACAACATTGAGAACAATGTGAGGCCGGACTTTTGGACGTCAATGGCAAATTACAAGATAGGTCAAAGTGCATTGGCTAATTTTGTTTGATGTATTTAAGCATACATATATAGATTAAGAGTTTAACGGTTCATGCTTATTGCAAACTCCATTATTCCCTAAAGCAAGAACTAAAACAAATCACACCAGTTGCAAAACACGTCATTTTTGAACTGAAATTTTGTTTAATGTTGTTTTGTTATATGTCAAATATATTGATTAACAGTATATTATGCAGTAATTGAGTGTGAGATTGATTCTTTGGTTGGAGATGTTAGCAACCATAAGTAGCTCAAAGCTTCTATAGAATATTTAGCATGATAGTCAAAATCTTGACCAATCTTCATTTTCAAATTGATGTAACGATGCCCAGTGGTGTAATAGAGGCTGCCATGGTGACAGCCCATCTGTCCATCTAAGTTACAAACATAACCAGTGCATTCACTTCATTAATATCAGATCAAAAGATTAAAACTTCCCTCGATTCTAATTTATCTTGGCTAGCTGAACGTACCCCTTTGCTATGTCCACAGCCGGGGCGATAGGGGTGGCCAACCTGGTGATTGCATTTAGGCATAATTCACAAGCAGTTCCCACTGAAACAGGGCATGGCAGGAAAAATATTGCAAGAGCAATATTCTAACTAATTTTAAATGTTTGTGTGTGAGAATAAAGTATTGTTCCTTCTATTTATCTATCTGTCTATCCATTTATGACACAGACTTTTTCTTCCAACACTTACACTAGTAATTACACCTAAAATTAATTCTTCTGTACATCAGGCATCTTCTGTGATAGGAGAAGATTAGCTAAGACTTAATTAAAAAATACAATTAGTTTTTCCTTTTTTATAAGTAAGACAAACTCTTAATCAAATCTTCTTTAAACTTCTTTAAAAAAAAAAAAAAAGAATAGGTTATAAAATGTGTTGTATATCACCATGTTTCTTGATCCCCGTGTTTTTGATCAGTGTTTACAGAATTTAAGAACCATAACTAAACAAGTATGTACTTATAATTATTTATATGTGTTATATACATACATTAATTTTAATGCTCTTTAGTTCTTGAATAACCTCTCTTAGAAGCAATATGTGCAGAAACTGTTAAATTCTTTAAAAATTACTATTAAGGGCATCTTTACTGTGAGGGCTAAATCATATTGTTCCTTGGTGTGCTGCTAACCTTTTGGTTAGCAAACAATGGTAGTTTGGAATCTGTTCTTTTTTTTTCTTTTGTAAGTTTAGGTGTAAATAAATGTAGGTACTTGTGAAGGCTATGTGACATATTTTGTTACAGTGAATTAAACCTTTACATTTTAACAAGCTGCAATTTTTTTCTCATGGCCATATACCAAACCAACTGAAAGCTCTGGATAATTTAGTGCGATTAAAATCCCCCAGGCTCATACAAGAGAGCAGAGAAGTTAAGGTTTATCAGATTATTAGGTAGTCCCTTATGAGTAATCTCTTCTGTGATGGACAGGGCACTTAATTAGTTTATTGACTTTATTTTCTCCCTCTCTCTGTGCTTGTGGCATACCATGTGCATAATTTACAGAACCCTGTCATTTTTGGATGCCAGTAGTAATGGTTTTATCCCACATCCAGTTGACATCAGTCTCCTTCTCACCTTTGTGCTGTGAGACGATGGAAGCTGATTTAAGAGCAAAACTATTAGTTCAATCTGGAAAAACTCACACGAAGAGAAAAGACAATTAGGAGAAATTTATTGATACAATTACTTTGTTTTTGGCGCTCAGACCTCGGCAGGATACATAGCACTTTATTTTGATAGATATGCATAAACAGGAGCAAAGAATAGGGCTGTTTCCCCACAGGTCTGAAACTGGTGGTGGAGTGGAGATAGATGAAGTTGGTCAGTCTGTAGACTGCTGTTAGCAAGACTTGATTGCATGTGTTCATGTGTGCAGGCTCCAGAGTACATTTGTGTATGACCGTTTTTTCAGAATTTAACCCTTTATAGGGCACTTAGTGAAATGGATTTCAAGCCAATAGTGTTCTTGGAATCCAGGTCAAAACCTTATTACCTTTGTAACATTCAAAAAGTAATTATATTTTGATGGCAAAAATAATGTCAATGTTATAGCAAGAAACGCCAACTTGCCTGAATATATTAAGAAAAATAACAAAAGTGCTTCTATAGGAAATTCATGAAAAACACTCAGAGTGAAAGAAACACTTTTTTTTTTTGGTACAACATAACCTTAGAGGCATTAAAGCTGATACTGGCACTTCCATTTTTTAGTTTAGAAACCTTAATATATACCTTGTTAACTAGGCTTAATAACTTTTTAACTTTACTTTTTACATTTTTAATGAGCTTTTACCTTTTTTTCTTGACTTGTTACAGTAACCTTTTTCCCCAATTGAATTTACAGTAGGTAATATATCATTCAAGGGCTCATCTAATTGGTCAAATACCAAAATAAGATCTTTCCCGAATGACCGTATATAGATCTTCTGCTTCTAGACCTTACTGAGGGAGGGGGGGGAAACCCCTTACATACCCCTTACAAATGGACAAACGTCCATTTGTAAGGGGTATGTAAGTGATCAAAAACAGTAACTTGCCCTATAAAGTATATAAATAAACAATAAATAAATATTTTAGTGTATTTATTATATTTTATCATTATAAAAAAATGAAAATGTTAGAGCTGTAAATTTGTTACTGTTACTGTTACTGTTTTTATATATTTTTTTTTTTTTACTTTTTTTCAAGGCTGCACTTTAAAAAAAAAAATTAATTGTCTGTTCTAAACGAAATTTATTTTTGGTTTACACTTGTTTAAACAACATGACACATAAATCTGTCTAAGTCTAAAGGGTTAACAGCAGATTAGTGTTGCCAGGGTAGCGTACCATGGCAACATCATTTTCAGACAGAGATGGTCCGTCTGAAAAATATGTTCGACTATCGTTCCGCTGCTTTAACAGCTCGTGGGGAAACAGCAGTCTCTCGCAGGTGTTGCCAATCAGCTGAGCCCTTTCGAAACAAGACTCGCATGAAAAGAGTTAGCAGTTTTTGATATGTGGTTTTATTTTAATTCACCGTAAAATGTGTTAAAGTGAAGAAAGGAACAGAACGACATCAACAAGAACTTAGGAGCAGCAGCAGTACGGACAGCGGGAAACTTTGCAGCTAAGCGTGAAGCACAGATCGTGTTGATAATCATGGACGCGGTGGTGAAATTCACCTCCCAGAGTCAAGGGAGAGACCGGATATTCAGGTGCGCATGCTAAACTTTATTTGTTGGCTTACTTCTAATAAACTAATTATTAAGCAGCATACACAAAGTTCTAGATGTTGATGTCTCTAAGGTTAGAACACAACATTTAATCATCAGTCTGCATGGTTTTCATTTCAGGGCGACCCAATATGCATGTGCACTGTCCATATATTTACTTCGTAACAACCCTGAGAGAAAGGACCTGGTTAACAAACTTAAAAGTTTGGAAACTAACATAAGTGCTGGACGAAAATGTGAGTATAATTATAAGATAAGGAAAAAGAGCATTTTATCATAATATAATATGATAATGTTTCTAATAATAATTTCTCATGTCAATTGAAACGTCCCTTTGTGATCAGTTTATCAATAAACCAAAAATATTTCCAATTGCTTAGATTTTACCTTATATCTGTTAATATAAACAACAATCAACACTTTTTTTGTTTTTATAGTTTTCATGGTCAGCATTCCAGCAGTATTTATTTTTTTCTGCAAACAGATTATCTAATTTAGGACTATGTGCAACTTAGTGTTATTTTGTATCTCTTAGGAAGTTTATCCAGGCTGCACAGTCAAAATGCATCCTATCCACTTTAAACAGGCCTGTTTCACTCTTGATCTCACATGCAAATTATACAAAGAGTTTTGCTCTGGGACCCAGAAAGGAAGTCATTGTAATTTAAACCAAGGAACTAGCAACATTCTACACCAGCTAAATGCTGAGTTCCCCCATCTATCCCACTTTTAGAACATTTTCTGAACATACCCCTGTTGGTGTTTCCAGTATCTACCTAGAGAGTTTTTTTCTTTATTTTGTTTAGGGGGAAAAAAACTGTTGTACTGTAATGTATGATTATGTTATAAACATGAGTTAATGAGAATATGAAATTAAGAAACTCCTTTTGGGATTCAAGTTGTATCATTATGGATTGGTTAATAACTCTTTGCAGTTGGTTAAAACTAAACACTTGACCATTTTCTGCACTTTTTGATACATCTTGGGAGCTTGCTTCCTTCTGTTTGGTGTTTTAAAGCTAGATGAGTTCAATTTATATTTGAAATGCATACAAAAAAAAATCCAAGCAGTAAGTTGATAATTTTAATAACTAAATGCTCATTATGCCAGTGCCCTTATAAAAACACTCAAAGCATTACTAGAACTTTGAGGGGGGGAAAAAAAATCTGAAATATTCCTAGTTTTACTGAAAAGATTAATGGCTAATTTTTCAAGATTTTTCTGCATGATGCAGAAAATGATTAAATCAGACCGCTATGCTTTCTACAAAAGCTTGATGTTAGTTAGTTAGTTGGTCTTTTTCAAATGCTAATTCTGGCTCTTAACTGTTACTGCCATATTGTTACAGAATATAACTTTTTTTTTTTTTCTCCTAAAATATGAGGACTGCGTCTAACAGAGTTTTACAAAAAACAAACTGCTCTCTGCTGCATAAGAGCTTTAACCCTCCCTGAATTTTAAAGCAATCTTTTATTTATTTATTCATTTTTAATGTGAAGCTGCACACTGCTGTGCTTTGGGTTTGCTTTAGGTTAGCTTTTTATTTTATTGTTACTGTCATTCCAATTTATGTTGGACTGTGTAACGTGCAAGGCATTTGTCGCAACTCTAATAAGCCTTTAACCAGCCTCATATCTCAAGCATGACTTTCTAAACTTAAACACACATTTAGAGAGACTGACATGAGAAAAGTTGAACTTAGAAAGTTTCAAATCTATGTTACATGACTCCCCTTCAAGCCATTTCTAATTCTGTTGCTTTTGAGTCCTACAAAGTCTATAGCTGGACCACAGAGGGCTACGTTATTGATGCACAGCTTAATTATCTCTGAGTCAGAGCTGCTTGGAGCCTCTGCTGCTTCATCCTCTACACTTAATAACTCAGAGACCCTACTGTCTCACAATATCTAAGCAGACCTTTTAGATTTACTTAAGGCTACCTTGTTAAAATGTTTATCAAATAGTTCATCTTTGAATCAAAAGGAGAGATTATATTGAAATACTCAGAATGAATAAAGACCTTGATCTTTGTCTTACAGGGCCAATAAACCCAACATGTTTCTTTTTTTGTTGCTTAATTGTAATCTGTTTGCAGCAGAATGTTCCCTCTCTCTATGTTTTGATTGAACTCATTCCTGCTTTAATCTCTGCCTCCTTTGTCAGTGCTCAGGCTGGGAAACACAGCCAATTCCATTGTGGCTGTTAAACAAGCCATGAGACTCTCCGACCGAGTGCTACGCCTGTGCATCACTGCGGCCAACATCAACCGGGCCCTCTACTTTATCTGTGATAACTTACTGTGGGCCAGAAATGTGGGTCTGATCCTGAGTATCGACAAGGAACGCTGGAGCATTAACGCCTCTCGCTGCTACCTGTACTCATTAGTGATGAATCTGACCCGAGACCTGTATGTAATCCTCCAGCTGATGCTACAGAAAGGGAGAGATAACCACTTCAAGCAGAAAATGAACCAGCATCTCAGTGAATCTCCGGAAGTAGCTGAAGTAACTATTCCTGAGCTGGACGCGTTTGTTTTCCTACTACTGGAGACTCTCAGATCAGAGCCGACGGTTGCTTTGGACACCGTGAAAAACATCTGCGATCTCTTCATTCCTTTAGACAAACTGGGCATTTACAAGTCGAGTGCAGGGTTAGTTGGATTCTGTGGGCTGGTATCGTCCCTGATAGGCATTTTAACCCTTGCACGACCCACTTTAAGGATCAAACCATGATAACGAGGGTGGAGTTAGACCAAAGGTTAAAAAGGATCTAGGATTTATTTTCCAATGACAAACGCTAGCAATAACAAGCGTCTGCATACATGTGTGAACCTTAAAACATTTCCGGTCTAATTAAATAATTAGAGATGCACCGATCAAGCTTTTTCTGTCAGATTAACTTCAGGTGTCTCTGGTTTGAACTGCTGATTCATCATTTTAGATAAGAAAGAAAATGAAGTGATTTCAAGATAAATCTCTATTCATGGATTTAAGCATGTCGTTAATCAGTTTTATTTTTATTATAAGCACAAAGTAGCTGGTTGATGTGGTCCAAAATTTTATTAATGCTTTTTTTATGCTTATAATAAACAGGGAATAAATAATGAAAAATGTTCAGTATTTGAGTTGCTGATCAGGGCTGATCAAGGGGAAAAAGTCTAATCTGCTTTTGACCAAGTAATTGGTGCATCTCTATGTATAATTAAGTGATCCACTTAAGAAAATATTTTTCTTAAACATTTAACATTTAAAGATCCAAGATTTTTTTTTTTTATTCCTGTCCTCTACCAGCAGTTTCACAGATGATAGTTTTCCAAGTATAATGAAAAACATAAAGGCTTGTTTATCTGCTCTAGAAAATATAACATTTTTATCTGTGTGGATGGTTTAAACTTGCTGGAAGTTTATGGCATTTTGAAAATCTTCCAATTAACTATTTTTGTACCTAACCGCAGTGTTTAAATGCAATTATTTGTATCCATTTGCACTTTGCTTTGTACCTGATTTGTGATGTTTTAAATAAAAAAAAAGTTTACATTTTAGACTCAGTCAACCATAAAAAAATGGATTCTGACTCTATTGAGTTATATTTATTTACCAGGTGGATGTCAATCATATATCTTGGTTTCATAAGGTCATAACCCTTTTCTTTTTCTTTGTTGATTTTAAAAGATTGACTGGCAGAGACAGGAACTACAGGCAATACATTTTGAGATTTATATTAAATTGTGCTTAAAAATTCAGCTAAATGGAACAAATCTGTGATGGTAATTTATCTGCATATTTCATTTTAAATGCTTAATTCACAAAATAAATAAATGGATATCAAAATGTCAAAAGGGTATGAAAGGGTATTGCTTGTGGATGTGAAAAGGAAGGCTGAGATAAAATGATGAATGCGTGCATAATGAAGGCGCATTAATAAAATGGCTTACTGACAAAGAGCTGCAGCAAGCTGGCTGATCATTGATGTCCAGGCTATGGCCTCTGCTCTGCGGTCAAAAGCATGCTGAATTCATTTGAATGAGATGAAAACACATAGATGGTTTAGATGTTCCAGGGAAGGAATCTGCTGGCTTTATCTAAAAATAATGTAACTGAAACTTAACATGAAGAGATATGAAAGATTAGGAAGGGGAAAAAAAACTATTCACAGGTTATCTTGTTTTTCTTTTTTTCTAAAATAGATTTAACCTTTGGACTTTGTTTCATACACCAGGGGTTTAAAGCAGGTTTACTTAAAACGTAACATTTTAAAATCAGTTCAACTACCCAGAGCTAAACTAGTCAGGAGCAGGTTTTGTTCAGTAAACTCAGTGTTCGTCGTTTTCACCCTACTTAAAGCCAATCCTATTGTTTATTTCCCGATTTAGTCAGTTTTCTGCAAACAATAAAAAAGGAAAATCATTTACTAGGTCCGTTATAGATATTAGGTGTTAAAAATAAAAACAGCATGTTATTAAGAAGAGGCTCCATTTAAAGAATAACCACATTAATTCACAGAGAATAACATATTTACAGGGAGACTCTATGCTATTTTAGTGGTCTACAAATGGAACAACAGAGAGGGGTGCGCTTATAAATTTTAAAATGGCCTGCACCTTGAGTCTGTATATATACCTATGCATTAACTGAGCAGAAATTTTATCCTACGTCATCTCTCTTTCGCAGCTGTAGTGCAGTTTGTTTTCACATTTCTGCATTAAAATCTCTAGTTCCAGTGGTGTGATATAGGCACTTCCTGTTGCCTGTTGTCATTCTGACTTTACGAATCAGT